TATATTAGGGTATACATAGGCTATAAGGTTTTATAGGGATAATGGAAAAGAAAATGGAAACTACTATATTAATCTGTATTATATTGGGGTTATATTGGGGTTATGCAGAGTTGTAGGTGGATAGAGACTCTAACCCAGTCGAGTAGTATTTTATTTGGGGAGACCGACTGATGTCCGTGAATAATATTATGGTACCCAATAGAGAGTAAGATTCTATCCTCCTTTTGGGGTATAGTATTTCATATAAGGAATATAACCTTACTGGGCTTAACCACCAAAAAAACGCTACCCACTTGAGATGGCCTTTGGTAAGTAGCCTTGATTCTTGAAGCAGGCAGGTTCAGCTGCTGAAGAACGAGAACAGATCTCTCAGGGCACAGGTGGAAGAGGAGGAGCCACGGGAAAATGCAATCTTGAGTTTTTGATGAATGGCGAATAAGAGAAATAATAGTAAGAACAGAAAAACAATAGTAATCATAATGGTAATAAGAAAAACCATACCTAAAGTAACTTTAGGTAAGTGTGTGCAATCTCCCAGGAAAAGCTGGTTCACGCCTTATCTGCTTTATCTGCTTCCGTTGCATTGTCTAACTCTGTTGTTTCAGCCATCTACTACAGAACTAATTGCTATATTCATTGATGTTACTTATAGTTTCGTTAATTATGGTTATCACTATTTTTGTTATTGTTATTATTACTCTTCTTAGCCATTCACTATCAAGTCTCACACCTCAAGGCGCAAGACGTGCAGCACCGGCCGCCTCCTGAAGGCAGCAGTTGCATGATATGGGTGGTTATCAAAATTATGGTCCCTTTTTGGATCCCTAGTATAATACGGATTAATACGGCCCCTAATATTTAGGGTACCAGAAAAGGGACCATAAGTTTGACAACCACCCATATAGCATGATGCAGTGAACCTGGCCCAGCGTGCTCAGCGAAGGACTGGAGAAGCTGAGCTCGGCGGTGATGTTCCCAATGCTTCCATATTCCCAGTAACATGGAAACAAGCTGATATAGGGATAATGGAAAAGAAAAATGGAAGCTACAGGGATTATAGGGATGATATAGGGATTATATAGGGATTTTAGGGTGTAGATTGGGTTTATATTGGGATAATGGAAAATAAAGTGGAAACTACTACGGTGTATTGGGGATGTATTGGGATAATCGAAATGAAAATGGAAACTACTATAGTATATTGGGGTTATCTCCCGCTATGTCCAGTAATATGGAATCTACTATAGTATCCTGGGAATGTATTGGGATAATGGGAAGGAACACGGAAGCTACTACAGTATTAGTTGCTATTATCATGAATATGATGAGGCAGTGGTGGTAGTTCTGAGGAACTTGCTGGGAAGCTGCAGCGCACGCTCGAGAAATACCGGGAGGAAAAGGCGGAAAGCGCACCTGCAAACTTGTGACCTTCTGCTAAGATTAGGGCAGTTGCAGCAAGTTGCTTTTCTGCAGGCAAAGGCTTCAGAACTCAGCCGGCGAATGGAGGACGCTCTGAAAGAGGCATGAGCGATCTGCCCTGAGACAGCCAAGACTTGTGGGAGTTTCGAAGAGGTAAATCGCGCACGCGGCCTGGAGCGATCCCTCGAGGAGCCGGGGGCTGACAGCACAGTGCATTGCAAAGAACAAAGGAATTGTATGGGATAGGTGTGAAGATCCTTAGAGCGAGGGCACTGATCTGCTTCAGTCTCAATCATTGCTGAGCAGACTTTTCAATTTGCTGTCGCCAGCCTCGCCAAGGCTTCAGCAGGTGCACCTGGAGCAAAACCGAGAATTGCAGCGTCTTCAGGATGAGGGCAGGCTGGTCACATGCATGGAGGTACATGGAGGAACAGAACTCCACTGACTTGTCGCTTTCAATCCCTGATTTGTCCAGCTTGTGTGCTACTTGCCTAACAGCTGTCACCTCGCCTGCAGCCAGGAAGCTGGACACATATCGCCAGACGGCCAAAACCCAGGAGAAGGTCGCAACCCGCGGTTGAATCTCCGGGCATGCGGGAGATGTTGGTTCATGGTTGGTACCGTCATGGAGGTTATCTCCAAGTTGGAAAAGATCTTGGAGAGCTCCTTGCAGGAGGCGCCTAGTTCCCGTCCGGCACAATCAAAACATGGGATGCTTCTCGGACTCTGTCCTGGCTGCGCCAGGTGCAAAAGGCGCAGAAGGTGCAGGTAGCGCGTCTGCAGAAGTGCAAAGTCTGCGATGACAAGCTAACCGGTCAGGTGGACATTGAGCGCTTGAAGACAGAAAATCTGAAGCTCCGTGACCTGGCCAAGAAGATTCTCCCCGCACCCGGAAAGCAAAAGGATCCAACCTGACTAGCATGACTGGCAGGCGAACGGTGCTCAAGCTTGCTCACGCGCAAAAAGCAGCTCGGCAACATTTCCTGAGTCAGGCAACATACTTTCACATTGTCCTTCCCCGGATGCTAAGGGAAGTTGGAGACGATGAAGCACAGGAGCCGTGACCCTCCGCTGCGCTGTGCATGGGTATGCATGGGCCAGCTTTGGGAAGGAGCTGCGGCAGCGGCTTGCGGAGAAAGATGCTGAAATCGCTCGGCTACAGAAAGTTGTGATGTTCTCAGTTGTCACTGTTGCTCAGAAGATCCTTCCCAGGGCACTTTTCGGATAAAACTGACATGTGGATGCACCTGCAGATGTAAGGCAACCACTCTGAAGGCAAGTCCTGCAGATACCGTTCAGGACTTCGCCCCGATTCGCGCGAGCTAAAAGCTGCAACAGCTGGGTTGCAGTTAAAGAACTTCACTTAAGTTACTATATTGGGGTAACCCCATTAATTGCTATATATACCCATCATGGTAACTTAATTTCAGTTCCTTAACAGCAATCCAGAAGATTGACACACCTCTGTCAGGAGACTGTGCTGCCTTCAACCGCGCCTGACACTGCAGTAGGAAGCCCAGGAGCACTTGAGCTGTAGTCTAAACTCCTTTAAGGGGGTTAATATAGGGCATTATATAGGGCACTACTATAGGGGTTATTAAGGGGGATACTAGGAGTTTAGACAATGGTTCAATTGGCCTCGGCCGTGCAAGGAATGTTCCGCTGATCAGCGTGTTTGCAGATTAAGTAGCTTCTGTTTCGGAATCTGACCACATGAGCCTACAGTTTAGGTATGCAGAATGATACGTTTTGGGACGATATAAACCCAATATAACCCCATAATCCCTAAAAAAAACAGTATAGTAGTTTCCATTTCATCTTCCATTATCCTCATATAATCCCTTTATGTACCCTATAATCCCCATATAACCCCTTCACGAACCCGTATAATCCCCGTAGTTTCCATTCGATTTTCCATTATCCCTATATAATCTCTACATAACCCATGAGGCTTTGTCGGCTGAAGAGCTGAGACCTCAGCCTCAGAGCATCGACATACCACCTACCACCGGCCACACTGTTCGTTGGTGATTCAAGATGTAGTATAAAGGGGGCTACATTGGGGGTTATATAGGGGAGCACTATAAAGGTTATCAAGGGAGATACTAGGAGTTTAGATTATAGATCAGATGATTTCATCATCGCCTTGTTTCATTGCAATATTTTGCCCCCGCAAGCTGAAGCAACCTCCCACCCCAGGCAGGAGCAGCTGGCCCATCTTGAGGCAAAACGCTTTGTTGGCGGCTGAGCTTTGCTATTATTACTATTACTATTAGTACTATTTTTTACTATTACTATTATTCTTACTATTACGATTACTATCAGGACTATTCTTACTATTATTACTGTGAGCCACTGAAGCTTGCATATCGACATTGCGCTGAACCCAAATGAACACAGCTGGAGTATATTCTTAAACCCCTGCTGAAAACCATATGATCTAATCCTATAAATCCCTATATATACCTATAAATTCCTTATATAACCCCTGTAAAAACTCACATAACCCCTGTACAATCCCTATATAACCCCTAAAAAAAATACTTTTCCATTATCCCTTTATAAAGCCAGGAATATATCTTATAACCCTACATAACCCCATATGACCCCTATAATCCCTGTAGTTTCCATTTCCTTTTCCATGTTTCTATATAACCTATATCCAAACCCTAAACCCTAAACCCTAAGTAATGGTAATAAACCCTACCCTAAACCCTAAACCCTAAACCCTAAACCTATCCTTTCACGGAGGTAGAGCTCTGCATCCAAGGAGTGGGAGCAGCGCTGTGCGGCTGCAGAGCAGCGGCCCGGGGCTTGGCCGCTACGAGAGCAGTGCCATTAAAGGGTCTAGGGATTCAGGGTTTAGGTTAGGGTTTAGGGTTTAGGGTTTAGGGTAGGGTTTATTACCATTACTTAGGGTTTTGGGTTATCATTTTGGCTTTAGCATTCTGAAAATTTGAAATTTGTGAAAAATTGAGATTGAGGAATTTGGGGAACCCTAAGTAATGGTAAGTCTACAGGGGCTTGAGGGTTCAGGGTTTAGGGTTTTGGGTATGCGGGTTTCCCGAAATTAGGGGTACCTTTCAAGGGGGATATAGGGATACATAGGGTTTGGGTTTTGGGTATGGAGGGTTCCCAAAATTAGGGGTACCCTTAAAGGGGTTCTGTAGGGATAATGGAAAAGATCATGGAAACTACTGTTTAGGCTTTAGGGATTAGGGTTTCCCAAAATTAGGGTTACTTTCAAAGAGGTTATATAGGTCTATATTGGGGTCCCCTTAGTTAGAGACATTACCATTTATTGAATCATTGAATTAGCCAGACTCGCAACTCAGAGCCATGTGGTACAGGAGGTGCATTTCAGGTTGCCTTTTACCTCCATGATCAGAGCATGATCATCGTTGCGGCAGCAGCAAATCGTGTTTTGTGTGCACAGTTGCGAAATTGTGGGCTGCTCCCCTTGTTCCAAAACAGTGCGTGAAGGCTGCAGATGCTTCAGCAACAGTTGACCGAAAGTTCAAAGAGGCACGGCTTCTGAGTTCCGAGTTGAGCACATCTGCTTGGCCTTGCTGCAGAAGGCTTCGGTATGACTAGCTGCTTGTGCGACACGAGAGAAGGTACGGGGCGCAGATTTCCACCCTGGAAGTGGAGATTGCGAAGAAGGATGCGCGCATCAAAGAGTCCCGCACACAGCACACGCTTGTAATTACCTAGAGTTTATTCGACAGAAAGCCTGAGAGATCCTGAGAGGTTTCATGACGTAGCACATCACCTGCTCATACGCCTGTGGATGATATTCTGGATGGTTGAGGATGCTCTTTATAATAGGGGTTACTATATATAGGGCTTAGAGCTTAGGGTTATACAGGGGTATATAGTCTTAATGGAAAAGAAAATGGAAGCTACGAGTAGTTGGGGATTATGTAGGCGTGTTCAGCCAACCCTCTCTTGTCATGGTATGCCCTAAACCTTAAACTCTAACCCTATACCCTAAACAGTAGCTTCCATTTCATTATCCATTATCCCAATATGATACCTATATAGCCCCCAAAATAACCCCTATGTAACCCATTTTCCCTATATAATCTAAGCTCGCACTGCAGGTTGGAGTATCTTCTGAGACAGCAAGAGCCTGCCCTGTAGCAGAAACTTTGCTGCAGGCAGTCTTGCCGGATTTGCCAGCATGTTAACGTCATCCTCTGCAGATCCATAAGACGTGGACCCTGCACCGCCAGTTCCATGCAACAGATGCAATGCTTCAGCAACTGGTTTTGGGCACGCTAGAAGTATTGAGGACGGCAAAGTCAACTTTGGTATGCCCTTTGGGATGATGGGAAGCATGCACCTGTTGTTGTAAATAACAGCCTGGCATGTTAATGAATGCTTCAGCTAGGAGAGTCGGACCAGTTGAAAAAGCGAGGAGCTAAAACACTGCGAACAGAAGCTAGCTCTTTGGGTCAAAGATCTGGTCAAATTGGATCAGTGGCTGGAGTTGATATACCTGCTGTTCCTCAGGTACGGCGCGGGCCATCCTACCTGAACATTTAAGTGCCCGAGGCATGTTTTGCTTATGTTCACGCTGCACTGCGCAAAGACTTCAATTTGTCTGCAACTGACGGTGCCATATAGTTCCAAACAACCGCCGTCTGCACAGAAGTGAAAAGTCTGAAAGCTTCACGGAGATGAACACACCGGCTAGGGTCTCTCAAGCAAGCTCCGCTATGCTTTCAGCGTCACTGCACTAAGCACCTGGCTTTCGGGATGCCAGCCCCCGTGGACCAGCTGAGTTTCTTACCATGCGATAGTTTGCAAAGATACGTGGGGGGAACCCTGCAAGAGTGGCTATGCAGCGCCTTGCTGTGTGGCCAGACTGCGAAAGGGGAAGGAAAAAACCGTGAGATGCCTGAGGACGCAAAGAAATGCAACAGGAAAATTGCACTAGAACGGAAAAGAACGCACAAAATCTGCAGAACCGGGCTCCCGAAGCGGCCTTTAACTACCATGTTGGAGCCACAGACTCCCTGTTTTGCCAGCGCATCCATTTGTATTTGGAAGAGCCTGTGGCATGTCACGTGGAAACGCAAAGCCACCAAAAGCAACTCAACAGAAGTGACGGAAGCTCCAAGAGGTGCATGTGACGGGTTTAGGGTTTAGGGTATAGGGTAGGGTTTAGGGTTTAGGGCTTAGGGCTTTGAAATCCCAAGCCCCTTGTTCGCGTTACCTGCTTTATCTCAACCCCACCTGAACCTAATGTAGGCAGGAATCATACACGACAGTCATGCACAGAATCCGCATGAGTCCTCAACCTTGAACCCGCACTGTGCGCACGCTAAGCTCCGCGCACCAAAAGCTCCTGAACCGTAAACAGCGCTTTTTTAAAGCATCAATGTTGGAGCAACATGAGCTATGTTGCCATAGACGCAATGTCATTGAAAGAAACGCACAATGTTAAACTCATTACAAAGTACTTCGCACTGGGCTTGTTGCTGCTTCTGGCATGTGCTTCGGCACCAAATTTTGCACCAGGATACGAAAACGTGAGGGCATCATAACTGAATGTCCTACAGCCCTAGCAGGCTGAACAAGAGTCCATGCCACAAGGGGGAACCACCAAAATGGTACGCTTGAGTTTGGGAAAGCCTCACTTCAAGCAGAAAGACAGTGCTGGGAACCTTTCTGAGCAAGAATCGTGATAATGATAATACTATAATGATAGTGAGACTAATACTAAAAATAAGGGTAAGAATACTGGTAGTAATAGGAATAATGCTATGAAACCTTGCCGGGCACTTGCATTAGCTTTGATTACAGTCCCTTTCCCAAATCATGACATGAAATGTCGACGCATGTCAAATTCATGCCCATCCGCTGTTTCTTGTTCTGATGTACGAAAGTCGAGGGTTTAGGGATTGGGGTTTGGGGTTAGGAATAGGGTTTAGAGTAAACAGGTACGCTGGCCACCGGCGATAGCCAGGATGAGGAAGCGCAAAGTGGATCAGGGTCGGAGGCGAGGGACACAGGACTGACTGACTGCTTTGACCCGATACTAGGTTGCTGTTTTTGTTAACTTCTATAATAAGGAAACCCCATTATGTACTATGTACCCATAACCTGGCAGCTTGCACTGAGTTCCGTAACAGCAACCCAGAACACAAATATACTATGATATACTATAATATATCTACTATACTATACTGTAATCAAAAATAGTATATTGGGTACTGCCCCCACCCA